AAAAACCAGAAGTAAGTCTAAACATCATAATTCATATTTTGAGTGAAATATTAATGAATGATAAAAAATACTCGTAGTAAATATATTTAATTTCTACTTTTACTAAGCTTATTTCGATAATAATGAAGTTAGAACTTCAACGTTGTAGTATGAATTTCTTCTATCTCTCTCTCTCTCCAGTGAAACAGACCCACCTTGTTTTCTATGAAGTAATGAACATCGTATGCACTAACTAACGTAAGTAGTACATAATAAACTTATCAGGACTAGTTTCTGTCGTTGTTTATTTAACATACTATTTGATAAATAATCTGAAAACGACATTTGCTAGTTAATTGCGACTAGTTATTTTGTTTGAGTCACTTATCTTATAGGGAAATGTAGTATTTCAGTCATGAAAACTGAGACAATCGAATTTCAAGTAATCTGTATGGTATTTCCTTGATTCAAAGCATTAGAATACAACAGAATCTTGAAATAAAAAAATGTAATATTTCGATTAACGCAATCGTCGATTCCCATTTCATAGAGACGCTGGTCACATATGACCATAAACGGTGTCTACAATAAGAAATACAACTTGGCTTTTAGAATTCGAGAGGAAAATTACTAAAACTAAACATTGAAGTCATCGAATTAGATGAAAATTCATTTTTACTGCGATCACATAGTAAATCTATAGTACGCTTCAACAGGAAACGTCTTTGATATTGATTATTTTTTGAAAAGCGAGATTAATCATTGTGCACTAAACTTTTTTCTTATGATAATTAGCTACTGGCACAAATTGAACAAATTATATATGAAGCTATTCTTCTTGTATTACATGATGGCATTCTTGGTAAATATTTATTTAGCATTTATCATTAAGTTAATTTTATTGTTTTCAATAGATTTTTACGAAGAAATTTTAACACTGATCGATACTTTCACTATAAATACAATTACTCCACTAATGTGGCAAGTATTTTATTTAATTAAGGAAGCATTCTTTCGTGATGCTGCCGATTATTTTGCTGGTAAAATTATATTTACATCTTAAATGAAATTAATTATTCATATAAATTTTTTTTATAAATAAATTTAAGAAATCATGAACTGTTTACATAATTATGTTGTGAATGATACACCATCATTTTTATCGCAACCAGATCGAATCGAAACAATTTTTGCGATGTGTAAACATGTAAGTAGTTTCAAAATCTAGATAAACAATTTCTGTTCGGATAAAAATATGCAACAGTATGGAAGCTCTTACGTTGGGTTTAGCTTAGAAAGAACTATCGAAGGTTAATTAATGTTGATAGTGAAAGATGATGATAAGCATCATATATTATAATAATTATGGAAGGAGTAAACTGACGTCTGCATTCATTCGAAGAGGAGTAGCTAAACGAATATGTTTTTGATAGACTCTCGAACATTATGATGGATATTTTTTTCTTTCAAATGCAAATAATTTGATAAAAAAGTCAGATTAGTAGAAACGAAATCTGAAATTTAATTTTTCTGTTAGTAGCAATGACTTTCTACGAAGGAGATTTTCAGCATCATGACACAATTGATGCTGAACAACAATCACTAGTCTGCTATTATTACTATTTTTGTGTAGAATATTTCGTAATCATAGAATGTTGAAATGACTTGAGGGCGTACTCATTCAAATACTAATAAATCGAAATCTAGTGAGATACTCTTTAGGCACAAACTATAGGTTACAGAAGACAATCATTGCAGCTATTAGACGAAGAGAGAAGTCTGAGATTCTTCTGCAGATCTTTCTGTTGTGAATTATTACGTTCATCAGCACTGCTCTTTCAAAGTGCTTTGATACTGTGTTTTTGTCTTCATTCAGCTTGATGTTGTCTTTGTTTGTTTTTCAAAAATTCCTTTTATTTAGGTGATTGTCAACGATTTGGGTGAAGATTCCGAAGCTCACGCAGCTAAATTAATCGAAGTAATAATTCTTCAATGCCAAGATAATATGAATGCTGTATGTGTATTGTCTTTTTCAAGCATGTAAATTTAATATCAAACTTTTCCTTAGGCTCTTCCAGCTATAGTTCAGTTAATGGCTCAACGTTTTCAACGTGAAATTCTTACAAGTGAATTACGTCTTATGCTTCTTCAAGTATTTATTGTTATCTTATGGCTTAATCCGGATAGATTCTTTCAAACATTAAATACTGTTGCAGCAAATGATCCAAGTACTCAGAGTACCATAGCAAATTTTTTTAATCAATGGATGACTGACTGTGAACTATTTGCTGGTGTACATGATCGTCGTATTTGCGCACTTGGTCTATGTACACTACTTCGTATCGATTCAAAATATTATTCGGCAATATCAAATATTGTACCGAAAATTTTACCAAATTGTATTCATATTTATCAAGGTTTAATAAAAACGTATCAACATAATAATGAGGAGGACAGCGATGATGCTACGGACGATGATGATGATTCCGTACCCAGTGGTAAAATAAGAACATAATTTTCTTCTATTTCTATAAAAGTGAAAATTGTCTATTTTCTTTTTAGAAATTGATGATGGTGAAGATGAGAACATTCAACATGATGATGAATTTCTTCGAAAGCTGAAAGGAAAAGTATGAATTATTTGAAAAATAAAGGAAGTGGAGATTTTTACTACAACGATTAAACTTTGGCACCTTTCTCTCCGCAGTGAATGAAATGTATTGATGTGCCAAACATAAAAAAAACTCAACCCACTAATTGAGTATCTGAAAGTCCAGAAAATCTCCTCACAACGCTTCCATCTTGACGAAGAAGGTACCATAGAAATACTTATACGAGATAGTAGTTGAAAGGTTTTTCAATAATTTTATTTAATTTTCAAGTTTGGCACTATTTTTATTCTTTGGACTGTACCGAGTCCTCTGTTTATCATTACTATACGATCCTGATAGGTTTGCAGAAATATGTTCTTCAATTAATTTCGGAAATAAAGACAAAAGTAGTAGCTACAGTCACAGCGTGTTTCTTATTTTAATCCTATACGGAATTGTATCTATAACTAGATTTATCATTATTGATAATATTTTCATGTATGCTTTTTTTTCTTCTTCTATTAAGGTCCCTGATCATGAAATGACAGGGGACGGGCTTGGAGATGATAATAATGCAGATAACGACGATGACAGTGATTTTGATATAGATGAAACTGATCTTGAATCGTATTCAACAGTATTGGAAGCCAATGAAGATATTGATGAATTTCAAATATTTTGTGAAAGCTTACAAAGTATGAAATTATTAACAATGATAGAAAATATTCGTTTCTAATTTATATTTTAAAGAGCTTCAATTGGATACAACTGGCTATAATCAAGCTTTACTACAAAATCTTACAGTTGAGCAACGAACACATGTTCAAAATATAATTCATTATACTGAAAAACGAAAACAAGAAAAAGGTTGCATAAAACTTCCAGTAAATAAAAAGTTGTTCTAAAGATTACTTTAATAGAATCAAATAAACTACGCGAAGCTGGCGGTTACAATTTTTCACAAGCAGTTACTGTTGGACAACCAACGAATTTCAATTTTGGAAGTTCAACGAATTCTTCATTTCAAAATCCGAAATGATTTTTATACTATTTCTTCTCTTTTCTTTTTCATAATACGAATCATAAACATTAGCATGACTTTCGTGTGTTTGATTTTTCTTTTTCTACATACACATATAGTTCTGCTGACAAAGAAAAGCTATTTCTTCTTTTTCTTTTATACAGCGATGATGGATGAATGCAGTGCTCTTTTTTCATGTTCGTTGTTTCGTTATATATGTTTTGATTGTTATTTTTTGGAAAGAAAGGGTGTCAAACGCTGTTTTGATAAATCTTTATTGAAACAGAGCAAGAAAGTCTCTCATTCAATGGAAAATATTATTTTGGATGCTTGTTAACTGTTACTAACTTGACATAAAACTTCATTGATTTTTAAATACAATTAGATCTAAGATTGAAAGTTTTCAAACGGAAAATATGTTAAACAAGCTTTAGAGTATTTCTAAATTCGTTATGCACAGAACACCAGCATGCAACGAAACAGAGGAATAATTGTTTCTTAAAGAAGCTCATTGTATCATCGAAGTTCAACTGAAAAGATTTCTTGGTGATTTTTCTTTACTAACGTCTTACGATTTGTGCATAAAGCACATCGTTTTCTCCTCTTAAGCCCCTCCCCTCAAAAAAAGTCGATTTTTGCCAAANTCTTGGAAAAAAAACTATAGTGATTCTGAAAGAGGAGAACATGGGCTATCACCCCATGGTGTTATCTCAATTTTCGATTTTTTGACGAAAATCGACTTTTTTTGAGGGGAGGGGCTTAAAGTATGACTAACGAGAAGATTCACAGCTACATTTCGATAATAAAAACGAAGATACCATTGTATTCTATCTTACAAAAAGTGTGTATTTTTACTGAACTCACTCATGAATCAACTGTATCTTCGATTGATTGATTTTTTTACACAAAACAAAGTATAGCTCTTCCCGCAACCAACCTCACGCCGTTCTTCATTACTTCAACAACGAGATCAATCTTGACCTATGGTTTTTTTTTATTGATTTGCTTCAATCTAACACAGATATATAAATGATAAACCTAAATAAATAGATAGCAAAGATTCGATTATTAGGTTTCTTTCAGTCAAGTGTTTTTCCTATAAAAATTTGTGTATGTGTACAAGAGAATTTGTTTTTCAACTCAGTCCACTTTTGCTACAGCATGAAAGGCACACGACTCTATTAGACTTTAATAGAATCCTGATGTGTAAATTAATCAAGTATTAGAAACATATCTATATATTCTACCAATTACACATGAAAATTGTTCCGGATTTTTCACCAAAAAGAGACAAATTATCTTTAAAATAGTGATATGATCACATTTGCTTCAATATTAATTTAGACTTTTGTTTTAAAAACTTTATTACGGATAGTAAAAAAATGGCAAGCACTCGTCATGTTTCAAATCTAGCATTTGTCTAGAAGAGCGAAGATTATGGCCAGAAACGCGAAGATTAGGGCCATAATTATCATGAAAATAGTATTGATACTAGATCGTCGAGGAACCACTTTCGGTACTAAATCAGTGTCATGTTTACGATGAATATTGTACGTTTCTTCTCTGGATACAAGAAAATCAATTAATTGCTCACGCATTGTTAAAATATTTGTTATTTGATTTGTGGCTGCTTTTAAATTTGGACAATTTCGTAATTCCGACCGGAGAGACCCAGTGAAAAAGACACCCAGTCCAAAATATTCTCGTAGGTTGCATTTTACAACTGCAGGGTGTTGAAATAGTTCTTCAATAACATTATTTCTTTCTTCAGCATTCTTTTCTTCACAATGACTAACAATTAACATCGAAAATTTTTTAAATTCAGGATAATTTGTCTGGAAAAAAATCATCGATTGAATATCTTCTTGATTCATACCAGAACTGCTGCTGAAGACAAAAGCAAATGCATGAATATGAGTTATATCTTTAGTAATACATTCATTAAGAAGTTCTTGCACTTTTCCATTAGAAATACGCTTATCAGCTTCTCTCACACAATCAAACAAGCCAGGAGTATCGACGATAGTAAAAAAGTGAGCATTTTCTTGATGTTTTGTCATTATTCGATTGAATGTAATTTCTCGAGTATTTGAAAATATACTTGGTCGTTCAGATATATGAAATGGATTTTTTATCATACAGGAAATAGTAGATTTGCCAGTACGTGTTCTTCCAACAAGTACAATATTTCGATAATTGCATTCCATAAACGGATATGTATTCTCTCTGTTTTTCTTTGTCATAAGATCAGCTATCAGCTGATCGCAAGTCATTCTACCTTTTTCATGGTCGAAAAGCATGATAAAAAATAAGTAAGTTAGATGAAAATATTTGAATATCAGTTTACCTTCTTGAGTGCAATTAATATCTCTGCTTTTTGGTCTTTGTTCCTGAAAAAATGAAACAAATCAAAATCAAATAAAACTGTTTCTAACTATAGTGTCTACTTATAATATTAGGAAGAAAATTAATAATAATGCCAAACAAAATTACCTGTTCGTCAATCATGTTTGATCGACAAGCCAATGAACTAACCGGTAGTGAAATCTAGAAAACATGTCATAGAAATCTAAAAAGATGATCATCATAAAAAGTTTTTATATATATTAAAAAAACAAAATTCATTTTGAACTACATATATTTATCACGGAATATTTTGATGGAACTAAATATCATACGATTTCCTCTTAGCTATTCATTGATTATTGAAATTTGTTTCTATGATGTATTTTTTGTAGATGTAAGTTCACTAGTTTCTACAGGATGTTCAATCTTGTTTGAACTATTTGTAAGATTATCCAAACGACGTTTCACTTCTTCTATCTCATTCGAGAAACTATTTGTAAGATTATCCAAACGACGTTTTACTTCTTCTATCTCATTCGAGAAACTATTTGTAAGATTATCCAAATGACGTTTCATTTCTTCTCTCTCATTCAATATACTACTTGATATGTTCGTATTTCCCTCTATCTGTAGAGTCTTGTCCGTTTTAGCATCCATTTTTGAGTTAGGTCCAAGCCGTGCGATGTCAAGTTCAACATTGCTAGAGTTGGATTCAAGCAGTGAGTTGTCAATTTCAGTATTGTTAGAGTTATGATCGGGTTCATCGATATTGGTGGGTTGCTTGTGTTCGTTATTCTGAGTATTGTCATGGATAGTGTTCAGCTCTGTTTTATTGTTAGCATCTTCTTGATTTATATATTTTTGACTGAGCTCTGTATCATTTTGCGAATCATTATTATGAAATTCATGCGTAGGTGACGTTGTATTTACTTCTGAAAGTTTCCATGGGTATATTTTATAATACGCTGCAAGGATTGCAATAGCCAATGTCATAATTGCAAGAAATATAAAAAATATACTAGATTTATTCCATAACGCATTCCCTTTGTTGGATCGTTGTTGGGTAGATGGTTGAGTTTCTTCAAAACATTTGTCAATAAATTTTTTCCGCATTTTTATTACATTTTGATGTTCTTTAGTTAATACTTCAGGATATTTTTGTTGAAGTGATTCATATCGAAGACAGCCAAGAAAAAAAATTTCATTTGTGAAAAAATCTCGTAGATTGTGTTTTACAACATCCGGATGATCAAAAAATTCTTCGATCAATCGACTTTTATCTTTATCAGATAATTCTTCGGCATATGTTATTACTAACATAGTTCTTCCAGAAAACTTAGATAGGTTTGATTTAATTGAAGCCATGGCATCAATATCTGCTTGTTTGATCCCAGTTGAAAGATTAAAAACAAAGGCAATATGATGAACAGGATAGTTTGTTTTCAGTTGTTCTTTTAACATTTGAAGAATCGTTTTATTAGTTAGTGATGACGTAGTAGTATTTACGGTGAGATCATGAAAACCAGGCATATCGATAATCCGAAGGCCATTAATTTGTTGAGGCTCAGGATTTCGTGTAACTGAATACATAGTTGGCTTAGGTGGTTGATAGAGACTATCTCGAAGTGTATTACAAATAGTTGATTTGCCTGCAGGTGTTGGTCCCACAAGAAGAAGTGTTCGTTTTGGTTCATTTCGTACTGGAGCATATAAATCACGATCTGCATTCTGTTGTTCCCTCAGTTTTCTTAAAATACTTTCAGACAAAAGATATTTATTCATGATTATCAATGAAAATCTAGAATCAAAGCATAGATTCATTAATTCTTATTAAAATTAGAAAATGGCATTGCTTAGTGGTGTATCTTCACAAATGGCGTGAAAAAGAGCTAGTCTATACTATCACAAAATCAGCAGTATCACATATCCAACAAATATAAATATCATAGCTATAAGGAATCCATCAGGCGCAATCTGTATCTGCCGCAGAGACGCCGCATCTCTGGCATCGCCATCTCCCGCATCTCCCGATGAAAAAATATTTTTTGATTTTTAGCCTAGACCCTACTTGGAGATGCCGCGTCTCACGCACAGACGCTACATCTTCCAGCAACTACTGAGGAAAATCACTCTCCTGATTGGAAAGCTATGACGAATTCCCATCCGTGCGTCACAATGGAGTGTGGAAACTATGCATATGGTATTGCTGTACAACTCACCGCGACGGCGGAACCAGAAATCAAGTTCATCACATGGTGGAGCGAAGCGAGAGAGTGAGCGTCGAAACACAGGTAGGCACACTAAATCGTAGTCTTTCGTGGATAGAGTTACATAGGCAAAACACTAGATATACACTGAATCAGACACAAAAAGGTAAAACAGGCAGACAGGTAAAGACGCCAAAAAGGAATATCCCTCAATGTTGGTGTGCGACCACGCTAGAGAAACACGAAAACACATTAACACAGTCACACACTGCCACACCCATCGCAAGTGTGGGTGCCACGAAAGGCCGAATACCTCGTCTACACACGTATACAGCATACTTAATGTGGGTCTCATGAAAGCTGAAAAACGGCGGTGTAAAGCTACGGACGCATCTCTGTTACTCGAATTATCATTCTAAGATGTGGGTGTGGGTGTGTGGGTTGGTGTGCATGCATTCAACTTGCGTTTAAGTAAGCGCGCGTTTTTTTATGCTTGTCTACCGCAGCGACGCGCCAATATCGAATGATTTGCCTTTTCCACGTGGTTGGCAATCTGCCTGTTTTTACCTTTTTATCTGTCATTCGATGTAAATTCAGTATTTAGTTTATGTGGCTATATCCATGGATGACTACGATTTAACAAGCCGATAATTGTTTCGGCGCTCACCAGCAGCGTTCGCTGCCTCCTATGATGAACTAATGAGTTGGTGGGGAATTTGATTTTGCGGCAAAATCAAAATGCTTATACCGCAATAACAATTGCGGTATTGCGGTATTGCGGTATAGTGGCATTGCGGTATAGCGGCAGTGCGGTATAGCAGTAGCTAGATGTTACATATCCCTTATAGCTATGATATTTATATTTGTTGGATATGTGATACTGCTG